TGTCTAGTTCAATGGTCCATAAAATTTTTTAAGCATATAAACTCTTCTTCAAATCTCAGAAGAAACTCCAATACACAAAATAGCTCTGTTGGAAGCAGGGGTGGAGGGCCCTAGGACTCTTCTACCACATCCTAAAGACCTGGGGAGTAGGTGTGAAAAGATCTGGCCCCTGACAAGCAACACGGGAGCCACCTGGAAGTGCCACGGTGGCAAAAGGAGGTGGACAGGTTGACAAACTAGCATCAAACATGGGGTGTATCTCTAGGGGAGGCACATATGGATGCAGGGAGGGGGGAAGACACGAGAGTGCCCTGGGAACACTAAGAGAGAGAGGCTACCAGCTGCCTACTGCCTCACCCCTGGGGTCCCCACTCTGCCTTCCTGTAGGAGATGGCATGAAAAACTGAGAGATCTCCTTGCCATGGCTGCCTCTCACCCATTAAACCTACTTGTTCTCTGTTTCTCACACAGGTCGAGCCCATTCCTGCCTCCTCGCTTTGCCTGCCCCTCTACCTGCCAGCTGGAACGCCCTTTCCCTAAATCTTTGTCTTTCCAAATCTGACCTGCCCTTCAAATTCACACGTCACCGCGTTCTGGTAATCCTTCCATGTTCGTCCCCAGCCAAAAGTAGCATTCTGACCATTCTTCCTCTGACCTTCTCCAGCAGAGAGGACAGTGGCTGAGAGCTTGGGGCTCAGTTTCTCCATCTGTAAGATGGGAATGTGAGGACTGAGATGGTCCATGTAAAGTCCCAGCACCGTCCTGGCACACAGTAGGCACTTAATAAACAGTAGCTGTTCATCGCGATGTCATGGCCTCCCCCACCACCCAGGCAGGACCATGGTTCCCTCGGGCTCTGGTACACAGTAGGCATCTACTGAATGCTCACTCGGGTGACCAGCAGGTGGCCCCACACCCCAATTAACCTGCCTTGACCAAATGCTCTGAGCCCTGGGAAACTGGTTCCCTGAGCCTCCGGCCGCTTTCTCCTGGTCATGGGAAACAGAGAAAGGGCAGGACTGGCAGAGTCTTGGCACCTTGGCATGTCGCCTAGCGGACACTTGGGCAACATTGCTGACCATGGCCTTTGGACTTGGCTGCCCCCTCCCCTTTTCCACAGCCTTGCCCACCCTTGTGAGGATTACTCCCATTTAAGGGGTAAGAAAACCTTCCACTGGTGGCAGCATGTCTGCCCAGGGTGCGGGAAGGATCTGGCCCTGCTTGATCAATGAATCATTTTACTGATGAGGATGGGGAACCTCAAAAAGTGGAACAGTTTTGCCCAAATCCTCATGTAAACCAAAGCTCAGGTATTCTGGCTCTAAGCTAAATAATCCCACCCCACCCCACCCGCAGGGAGGGAGGTGGACTTTCCAGACCCTTTCCTGCCTTTGATTCCAAGGGGTTAATATGTTGGATGCCCAGTAGGACAAAGGGAATAATTTTACCCTGCTGGGTTTAAAGGCAGCTGCAAGGACCCACTAGAGATGCAAAGGCTCAGCCCAAGGAAGTGAGGTCTAGAGATGGCTATCCCAGGGCCTATGCCCCCTCCCCACACCTCCCAGAGAGAGAGAGAGTTTCCAGCAGGCCTGGGAGCACTAAGCCCCCTGCAGAGGTTGCGGCAGCCTGCATTCCAGGCTCAATTCTGGCGCTGCGGTGGAGGGGCTGAATCGAGGGCAGAGAGGGGCTGGTGTGGAATAGCAATGAGCTAGGCTGCTGGAAGCCAGCCAGCACCAGGTTTGCAAGACAGAGAACTCTGCTGTCAGCTGGGTCAGGGGAGCATCCCTGGGAAGCACTGGGAAGCAATGTCACACACAAACACACACACACACACGTGCACTCACTCGTGCACACATGTGAATACATCTCTCGTGGATTCTTTATTGAAAACTTCCAGGACGCCAGCATGGTGGCCAAGTAAATGCCTGTGTCGGAAAAGGCTGATGAGAACAAGTGGCCACACAGCTTAATTCCAGCTGATTGTCAGGGGTTTGCTCCTATTTCACAGATAGCCACACTGAGGCCCAAAGAGTGTGACTTGGCCAGGCACCCAGCCTCCTTGCCCTGGCCTATGAGAGCGTGCCTGATGCCAGAGATCAGGGGACCCCACGTCTCTTCGGCTCTTGGAAGTGGCCGAGCAGACATGGCAATCCTTCCAACCCTCTCCTTTGCTAACTCCCTCTGCTGCACCCCCACCAACCTAGCCACTCCCCCTTCCCCACAACAGCGATGGGCCAAGTATGGCCAATTAGAATCCCTCCCTGGGTCTGGAGTGTAGGCCCCTGGCAGATGCCTCCCTGCTGGAACTGCGGAAGCTGCGGTCCCGGATGTGAGAAGGCTGTACGGACAGAAGATCAGGATCAGCCCCGGGGAGAAGCACAGACAGGCAGAGCTGAGGGGTGTAGAGTCCTTCTGTCCCCAAGGCCCTGATCCAGGTCCCTGCAGTTCTGTCTTCAGTCCTATAAACTATCAGACACCCTCCCCAGCCACTGGGCTGCATCAGTTCGCTCTTTGGCTTAAAAGGCCCTGTGACACCTCCTTCTTAAGCCACGCCCTTCCTCCACAGACCATTTCGAACCTGAGATTTGGTAGCATTTGTGTGCTGTTTTGTCCTTCTCCCGGAGGAGAGTAAACTCCGAGGTGAGAGCCCTGCGTGCAGCTTTCACTGATGCTTTCCTTGCACCCAGCGCGGGGACTCAAGCGCCGTGGCTGCTCAGGGCCCAGCAAGGGAGTCTGTCTGCAGCTCTGTGGCTAGACAACCTGCCTTTGCATCTGGCCAGTATTGCACTGGGCAGAGTACATGGCGAGGGTTGGTCTGAACCACAGGCTCCACGAGGTCCCCAGAATTCATCTGGGGAGCCCAGGGGCCCTTCAGAAGGGTAGGCCACTCTCCTTGAAGCCCAAGGCTTTGCCCGAGGTTCAGGAAACCCAGGTGATGCTGCTCTGGAGAGCAAGCCCTTGGGAGTAAAACCCCATGGGTGGCAAATGCCTGACTTTGGGGGGTGGAAAGTCCCAGAGATAGATTTGGGGCAGGGTTGCTTTTCCCTCTAGCAACTTCAGGTACTTCTCTCCTTCCTGATGGCTAAGGATGCTGGGGTGGCAAATGGGTCCTGGGCACGAGCCATGCACCAGGCACCTTGCTAGGCACTTCACATGCATCCTCTGCCTGGATCCCCCAGATGACTCCCCAGGGTGGGCACTACCGCCCCATCGCAGTTGAGGAAATTGAGGTGGGAAAGCTGGGGGACTTGTCCAAGGTCGCCAAGCTAGGAAGCAGCCTGCATCTCAGGAGTGCTGGCTTCTCCCTGCCTTCTACCATCTCCACCCCTTCCCCCATGCCTTGAGGGGACAGGAGGTAGAGGGAGAGCTGCAGGTGCCAGTTGAGCTCTTGGGAAACTGGGAGGTTTCAAGATAGGAGCTGAGGGAATATGCCACAGTCAGGGCCCCGCCTCGAGGCAGCCCGCAAGGGCTTCCGAGGGCTGAGGGTGCTCTACTGCCGGAATAGTCAAAAGACAGTCTCCAGCGTCCCGCCCCCTCCCCTCCCCGACATTCTCTCTGCCAAATGAAATCTGGCAGCTTCTGAAAATAGCTCAGCGCTGCAGCAGGCTCTCCGCCCGCCCTTCAGCAGGCTGGCATGCAGCTGGGGGTGGCCACTGTGGGCAGACGCTGGCACACGTGGGGCCCGGGGGTGGGTGTCACACACACGGTGCGCAGGGCGCCCCATAGCTGGTGGCATGAGGAAGCTGCCATGCATCTGCTTCTCTGACCTTTCCATGCCTGGCGAGGCCACAGTGGCCCTGGAGCCAGCCCGCGTGCTTACTAGGCCTAAAGGGGGATCACTAGTGGGTGTGAGCAGCTGCCCTTGGGCCACTTTTGTCCACTCGTGTAGACAGAGAAACCCAGGAACCAGGAGGAAACGCCAAAATGGTGTTTATTACTATCTACATGTAAAACCCAGCAGTGTTTTCCTATCTGACGTGGGCTCGGGTTTCCCAGCCAGCGAGAGAGAGATCAGGAACCAGGCTGGGTGTCAGGCACTTGTCAGGCCCATATCAGGCACTGAGAACCCTGAGGCTACCCTGGGCAGCCGTGGGACTGGGTAAGCTTGGACCGGCAAGGAAGGGATCCTCTCTGTTCCGACTCAGGCCAAAGCTGGGACCCAGAACCAGACCTTCTAAGCATCACTCAGCAGCCCTCCACTGCCTTGGGTCTGACCCAGAGCATAGAAAGAGATCCCTGATTAATGGGGAGCCCCTGGGTCCTGCCCCCAGCCATCCACTCTCACAAAAGTACACGAGGAGGCAGCCCCTGCCATCAACCAGGACAAGGTGGAGGACGAACCGGTACAGAGAAGCTTTCCTGCCTGGGAACCAGTGAGTGGGTAGGGGCAGGAGAACTGTACTGGCTTTCATCACAGTGACATTTTCTGAAGTAGAAAAGGGTTAAAAATACCTTCCACCCTCCCCTGAGATGAGAGGCCACTCTTTGGGTAACGGGTAGTAACAGCATCACTTGGCCCAGGGACTCTGCGGGGAGGGTGCTCCAGGGGCCCTGTGGGACGGGGTTGCAGCAAGATAGGGCTGGACCACCCAGCGAGGCAGGCAAACTGACCATGGGCCTCGGGAGACCAAAGGGAGGGAGTCTGAGAGGGTGGAGCAGTGTGAAGGAGACCAGCCTCCCCAAGGACGCAGAAGCAGACCCCCATTGCCCCTTCTCCCTCCCTTGCTCTCTCACTCAGCATTCACAGACAGCAAGCCGGTCCCTGGTCACCATGGCAACCAATGGCCAGATGCCTTTCCCAAGGCCAGGCCCATCTGCCCACCCTACAGGGGGGTGTCTCCAAGGGAGGAGGGAAGCCCGCCACAACTGCCCGTGGCCTAGAAGTCTAAAGCCATGCCCCAGCGTGCCCAGCAGAGCTCCGTCCCACTCAGGCCGCTCTGGCCAAAGGCGCTGCAGCTGTGGCAGGCGGCTCCCTAACTCCGGGGCCCTGGGTCCTCTCTAAGGAGGTTTGGAGTCACGGTCGCCCATCCTGAAGTTCTAAGTGACAAAATAAAACACAACAAAATGATCCTTTTGTTAAAAACAATGACCCGGGGCGTCAGCACGCTCCTGTCTGTCCCCAGGCTGAGCAGCCGGGCCTATCCAAGGCCCTCATCCAAGGCCCGGTGCGCTACTGGTTGTTGCAGCCCTGTGAGCCTGAGGAGCCGCCTGCCTGCTTCTTTCTCCGCTTGTTGAGCAGTCGGTTGTTAGAGGTCTTCAGGTCCTTGATCTGCACCTGGTCGTAGTCCACACGCATGGTTGCCAGGGCACTAGTCATCTCCTCCTGGTGACAAATGTCCATGGAGGTCAGGATGTACTGGCCTCAAGAGCCATCACCCTCCTGCCTCCAGCCCCTTACTAATGTTGACGAGGGTGGCAACAGCTTCTGCTGCCTGAGCACCCACTGCATGCCCAGCACTGGGCCATCCCCTTGTGTGCCCTAATCCACACTGCAGTGCTTTGTGGTGGACACTGAGCTTATCCACCAAGGCACAGAAAGTACAGTGACTCCCTGTGACCACACCAAGGGTAAGTAGGACAGGGACCTGGACCAACGTCACCTGCTAAGGACCACAGGCCTGCAGGGGACACCAACTTGTGGGGCACACAGGGCACTAAAGCCTGAAGATTGTGCCCAGGGTGCCCTGGGGCTCTGAGCTGCTGTCCCCTATGCTGAAACCAGGCTGACCACCCTCCCCAATGTAGATTGTAAGGGGGGTTATGGCCAAAGCCCCTTCCTTCACTGAGCCCCCGGCCCCAAGTCCCAGTGAGCCAGGAGCACCACCCTGAATGCAGTAGCGTGGCCCAGTGCTCTGGGTGCCCCAGCTGGACCCCTGGTGCAGTCTGTGACACCCCGGGCTCTCGCCCCGGGGGAGGGGATGATGACCCAGGCTCTTGGTAGCCACCACCCTGGAGTCCCTTTTCCCAAAATCCTGGGAGACTGAGACAGCAACAGCGTCCACCCACCTTGACCTCATCCCAGTGGTCTCTATCCTCCTGCAGCACGCGGGCCGTGTGGAGTGGGGTCTGCGGCACCACCATTGATTGCTGGAAGGAGCCCCAAACCCTTGGATTAGAACAGGCACTGGAGATGGCACTGGCTCCCCAGCCCCACCCTCTCTCCTGGTCTCAGATATGGGAAGCAAGGCTCAGGGAGGTGAAGGAGCCTGACTGGAGCAGGGGCAAAGTCAGGCTCTCGCGAGGCCCTGCTGCATATCTGTGGCCTGCACCAGGGCCTCCGGAGCCACCACCCTCCTGCCCACAGCCCCCCCTCCAGCTCGCCACTGCCCACCACAGGACGAGGAGGCACTCACGTTGATCCAGGGATGGTTCATGAACTGTGTGATGGTCAGCCTCTCTGTGGGGTCTGTCTTCAGTAGGAGGCGGATCAGCTGCTTGGCTGGGGAAGACAGGGGAGTGGGGAGGCTGCAGAGTTCCTCAGAGCCAGTCACCCCAGTTCTGCATGGGCTCCCAAATTCCTAACCCACAGAAACAGTGAGCTAACAACTGTTTCTTGTTTTAAGCCACCACGTGTTTGGGGGTAACTCGTTATGCAGCCATGGAGAATGGGTACAGGGCAAATTTGTCTGTGGTCCCCAAAGGGAAAATACTAAGAAGGGGTGGGAGTTAGAGGATGTTTTGAGGAGGCAAGTTTTGAGCCCATTTAGCAGATATAGAAACTGAGGTTCAGAAAGTTTGGGTGACTTGCCTAGGGTCCCTAGCAGGGAGATGGGATGTGGGATGTCACGCACCCAGGATTTGAACACAGGTTGCTTTGACACCAACGTGGTATCTCCCAGAATGAAGGCTAATGGGGTCTGGCGGAGCAAGCTGGGGCAGAGAGGTTCACTCACCATCTTCAGAAACCTCCGACCACTCAGGATTGGGGAAGCCATACTGGCCTAGGCGGATCCGCCTCTTCATCCCTGGGGAGATGGCCTGGCCCGTGTTGGAGTAGAAGGGCGGGAAGCCACACAGGCTGGGAGAGAGTGGAGGGCATTCAGCACAGGAGTCAGGACAGCGCCAGGGTGGACCCATTCTCCTCCCCGCATCCCTGACTGGGAAGACAGGCAGCCACCAAGGTAGCCACCTTGGCAAGAAGACCAGCCCTCTGGACTCTGGGCTCATCCTGGGAATGCCATCTGCCCTTGGCAAGGAGAGACCTTCAGGCACCCTGAAAGAGGGGTGTCCCCATCCTGCATGGAGAATGACCCACTCAAGCCCCTCACCAAGGGATGGGGGAGAGGAGGCAGAAGTGGTACTGAGGGCACCAGGGGCCAGTGGCGACGGAGGCAGAGGTGGTGGTACTCACAGGATGTACATGATGACGCCCAGGGACCACATGTCACATGATTTGTCGTATTTCTCTGGACCCAAGACCTCAGGAGCTACCAGGACAGAGGGCACAGGAGGGCTCTCAGCCCCACGGGTCTTGGGGCCCAGACAGGAGCCTGAAGCCTGAGCAAGGTGGGGAGCAGGTGCCTGGGTTGGGGGGCGGGGCAAAGCAGACTGGTGTCTGGCACCTTCTGGGAAGGCAGCATGTGTGTGAAGTTGGGGGAGGAAAAACAGCTCCCAGAAAAAATAAACCCACTTTTAGGCTGGGCTGTAAGGAATGACAGCCTCCTAGCTTCTTTGGGCCAATATCGGCCTTTGTTGAGGGAGGAAACGGAGAAAAGGCCAGTCTGCCAGAACTGCACAGAGGCACTTCTTCCTGGTTGCAAAGCACAGAGAGGCCTAAGGGGGTCCTGCCATAGGCAAGAGGGCCTCCTCCCCCAAGCAGCCCTGTGTCCCTTGTCCCCCTGAATGCACAGCCTAGCCCACGGGCAAGGAGGGACCAGGGCAGGGCTCTGGTTTCTGCTTTCAGCTTGGCCACCATCCCATGGGGCCTTGTTCTTCCCACCTGTGCAATGAGATGGGTAGGCCAGAGGATTTCTAAGCCACAATACTGCAAAACACGTCCTGGTAAACAGGATACCATTTCAGCTGTCTCGGGGGCTCCCCACTCCTTAAGCAGTTCTCCTGGAAGGTCTCCCCTGAGGGGAAAGACCCTCTGTAATGCGAGTCATCACCCCTCTCGGATAAGGAGCGCCTTCAGCAGGGGCTTTTCCAGATCTGGGCTACCTGCTCACAAGGGAGCAAGGAGCTTCTCCAAGGAAGGAAGCGTGGGTATGTGACACCCCCAAGGCCTATCCCTGCCCTGGCCTAAGGACCCTCTCCCTGAAGACAAGGGCCTGGTGCCCTGTATCCTTCTAATGCAATAGGAAAGGCCTGCCTACTTTCTGAATATGAATCCCAGAAAGATAAAAACTGGAGAAAAACAACCGCGGTTGGGCTCCGTCCCAAGCTGATGGCAGCCTTTTATCACGTATATATTTAGAGCTGCTGTGATGTCATTCAGCTCACAGGCCACAGCCAGAATTTTCCTGGATCTATTTTCAAAAGCAGAAGCTGAAGTTTGGGAGAATATTTTTTGCAGCCTCCGGCCCCCCCACGTCACCGCCTCCATGAAGACAGGATCCCTCCCTCCCTCCTTACTGGGCTTTAACCCTTTGGCTTCTGCAACCCACGGGCTGCCCCACACGGCAAGAGGGTCCAGTGGGGGTAGGGACGTACAAACCACGTCCCAAGGACTCACCCACGTAATAGGGAGTGTAGCAGGGTGTCTGCAGGGCATTTTGGGTGGTCTCCTTGGCAAAGCCAAAGTCGGTGAGCTTGAGTACTGCATCCTTCTCCTTGGACGTGTAGAGCAGGTTTTCAGGCTGGGCCAGGAAGATAAAGCATTGGTCTGAAGTTAGGCACCAGGTGGGGGAAGAGTTCCCAAGATGATCTTCAGGCAGACTTCCTTCACCCCAATCAATTCAGGAGGAGCCAGCTCCATCTCATTAAAAAGACCTGGGCCTTGGTCACCAACAATGTGGGTCAGATATGGAGAAGACCAAGATGGCTGGGAGGTGATGCCTCCTTTCACAGAAGGGAAACAGAGGCAGGTGTTCAGCCAAAGCTGAGAAGAGCCAAGTGCCACAGAGAGCCCAGGGGTAGGAACTTCGGAGCCTGAGTTGGTGATGCTGCCATGAAATACCAAAATGAGGGTTCCAGGCAAGGTAGGCAGCTCATGTTGCCAAGCACTTGTCCGGTACCCAAACCAGAACAAGGCAGTGGGGCAGCCCGCCTGAGGCCATTCAGGGAGAAGGCCCCTGCCCCTTAGGCCCCAGGAGCTGCACAGAGGCAGTTCTTCCTGGTTGCAAAGCACAGAGAGGCCTAAGGGGAGAGGACAGTGAGGAGGTCTGCATGGAGGAGGCAGCCCTGAAGCTGGTTTTTAATGAATGGGTAGGACCTAGAGCCTGTAGGAAAGGGGGGACCCTCAAGCAAAGCTGGGGTAGAAGGACAGGGTGTTGGATGGAGTTCCAGTTTGGGGCCAGTGAAAGCCTTTTCTCTGGTTCTATTTGAGATGACCTGACCGTGGACTGGGGTGAAAACAGGAAAGCACATTTAGTCTATACAAGGGAGTCACCTCTACAGAAGACTGTTCTCTCCTTGGGGAAGAAAAGGAAGGCAGGGCCAAAATAAAGCAAGGGTTCAGAAGGTGAGTCTGTCATGGCTCCACGTGTATCCAGAACCAAGGGATAAACGGGCTGGTGGTACTCAGCCAGAGGAGGAACCTGATGCCGCAGCTGGGCCCTCAGCAACTCTCGGCCCAGTCTCAGGATGAAACAGGCCTCAGGGTAACGCTCTAGGCCTGGGGCAGCGGGCTCAGGACTCGCAGATTCTGCTCTGATGGTGGCTGGCACATACATGCGTCTGTATGTGGGGCTGCCTCACACGGTTCGCATTTTCCCCATCTGGTCCAGATGACCTCTAGGACCCAGCCCTCCCTAGACAGGACATTTGGAGAGCTGAGCCTCCAGAACATGTCTGAAGCCCATCCACTGAAAGGGCAAGCAGGCCCAGGAACTGGAACTACCTCTGCTCGTTCCCCCTCGCCTCCCAGCTAACGGCTTCTTTCCCTGAAAATGCTGGTGCTGGGGGCGCCTGGGTGGCTCAGTTGGTTGAGCCTTTGACTCTTGATTGCAGCTCAGGCCATGATCTCAGGTTCCTGGGATGGCTCCGTGCTCAGTGGGGCGTCTGCTTGAAGGTTTGTCTCCCTCTGCCCACCCCCTCACCCTCTCTCTCTCAAAAAAATAAATAAATCTTTAAAATAAAAAAAATCCTTGCTGAAAGAATGAATGAATGAATACCGGTGTGGCATCTGCGCAGGCTTAGGCAAGACACAATCTCTCTGAGACTTGCTTTCCTCATCTGTAGAATGGGTAATGGCGCCAGGCCCATGGGGTTATGTGAGGATTAAACAAGATGCTTGTCAGGGCCTACTGACTTGAGGTAGGCCCTCAGTTGTTCTAAAGCCTATTGGGATTACACAGTGTTTGAAAGAAACAAGGAGACCCATCTGGCTAGGGCAGGGTAAGTATGCTGGAACCATGGAAAAAGTGGCTGAGAAGAGCAGTCTGGGCTAGGGGACAGAGGCCTTGAATGCCAATCAGGAAACTTGCCTCCATCTAGTGGGTGCTGGGAGCCACTGGGGGTTGGGTACTCCCTTCTCTGGTCCCCTAACCTTGAGCCTCACCTTGACATCTCGGTGGGCGATGTTCTGGCTGTGCAGGAACTGGATGGCAGTGCCAATATCCCGCATGATCTCTGCAGCTTCTGCAGACAGAGACAGAGGAAGGGCCAGTGATGCCAGGCCAAGGTCGGGCAGCCTGGGGCGTCCACCCGATCAAGCCCCCTGGAACAGCACAAGATGGTGAGAGCAGTCCTGCTACCCAGGACCCATCCTATACCCCCACCCCAGTCATCCTAATTTCCTCTGGGGATGTCCCAGCCCACCTGGACCTCTTTCCTCAGGCCTGGACCACCTACCTCTTCCCAACTCAAGTGCTGGTTGGTATCAAGAGGCTTTGAAGCCTCCATCCCAAGGCCATGGACAGTCCATCTCTGACAAGGTGTTATGAACTCATAGAAGTCCTTGGGGTATGAACACTCTCTCCCATCCTCTCTTGTTCAGTGGGGGAGACTGAGGCACAGAGAGGAGCAGGGCCTTGCCCAGCATCACACAGCAACTCTATGCGGCCCGTCTCAGTCCAAATGCCCCCTCTGGTCCTGCTGCACACACCTACCTCTCTCGGTGAAAGCCTGGTCGCCACGCTCCTGAATCCGGCTGAAGAGCTCACCACCTTCCATGCTAGAAGAGAAAGTAACTAGAAGCAGGGCCCCCTGAATCCGGTGTCAGCCTGCCCCTGGCCTGAATCATGGGCCCAGAGCTTAGGCCCGGCCACTCTGCCCCTGGGAAATGGTTACGGGCAGCCTCCCTGTGCCCTGCAGAACCTGGTGCGTAGGAGGCCATCAGCTTGGCTGGGTTGACCTGGACTCTTAGAACTAGGGTAGGCTCAGGTCCTCAGATCATCGGGGGGGGGGGGGGCTTTGTATTCCCATGGGGGCTACCCCCACCTGGCTGAGCCTTGGGCTGCCCAACCCTCATCCAAGTCTCAGTTCCCTCAAATAAGGGAGGAGATGTCAATTGTCATCATCATCACCGCTGTTTTCTGAACACCTTCAGCGCTATGTGACCCTGGCCTGGTCCCTTTACCTCTCTGAGCCTCAGCTTCCTCCTTTGTAAAACGGGATTTAGAGCACCAGCCTCACAGAGTTGTGCAAATTGAGTAAGCGGTATGCGTGGAGCCCTAAGAACGGAGTCAGGTACAGGGCGAATAGCACGTTAACATCTTCCTCCACCTCTTACGTGGCAGTTACAGAAGTTCAGAGAGGTTAAGAGCTACCCAAAATCACACAGCTGGTGGGTGGTAGAGCCAGGATCTGAACCTCAAATCTGACTCAAGGGCTGCTAACCTATAGGATGAGGGCTGCTTAAAGGTGGATGGGGAGGAGCTCGAGGTCCAGACACGAGACCCAGCATCTGAGGAAGGCTAGGGCTGAGCCACAGTGCTGTTGGGAGAAGCCCAAGGTAGAAGAGGCTGCTGGCTCCTGGATTACCCTGTGGTCTCCTGGGACCACGGGAGCCCAAACCCAGGTAGGAAGGAGAAGGTGGAGGTGACAGTGTGTGTCCTGCTCCTCCCAAGGTAGGAGGCTTTGAAGCCTCCATCTCAAGGCCATGGACAGTCCATCTCTGACAAGGTGTTATGAATTCATAGAAGTCCTTGGGGTATGGACACTGTCCCATCCTCTCTTGTTCAGCGGGGGAGACTGAGGCATAGAGAGGAGCAGGGCCTTGCCCAGCATCACACACTCAGGGCTTGGCTGCCTTCTCCGACCCCTCTTCCAGCCCCTCCTCACAGAGTGAGAGCACATCCACGGAGGCCATATTGGAGCCCCTGGAGTTCCCTTCCCACACGGACGGAACGGCCTTGTGGCCAGCTGCACAGCTCCATGGGCAAGGCCTGCAACTGCCCCTCCATTACTCCTCAGGGACTGGGGTGTCTCCCGCAGCTGCTATCTTGAGAGCAGAGAGGGCCCCTAAAGAAGGGTGGGGGCCTGGGGGCCACAGGAGTACCGGTGAGGCCCTGACACGGGGTGGGCCAGCGTACCACTCCATGACGATGAGGAGACAGCGCTTGCCGTGGTGCATGTTTTCATACACGTCCAGGATGCGCACAATGTGAGGGCCCCCTGAGGTCTGCCAGTGGTGGTCCACCTCCTGCCGGGCCTTGGGGCTGTCATACAGGAGCTGAGGGCAGGTAGGCACAGAGAGCGTCAGGCACACAGCCCACTTCCCCAGCAGGCCCCCACTCATGTCACTGCCCTCACGTGGCAGACAAGAATATGTAAGCTCAGAGAGGCCTGTGACCTGCCCAAGCTCGCCCAGCTTATGAAGGGCAGAATAAGGATTCAAACACAGGTCTCTCTGACTTGTGGTCCAATGACCACAAGAAAGCCCTGGGAGGTGGCTGACAGCTTGGAAAGGTTCAGAGGCCACTTACAGAAGCCCTGCCTCCCTTCTTGGGGGCTGCAAGTCGAGTGGCAGTTGCGCAGGCTTTGTAGACAAATCACACATCAGATGTGAGACCCCAGGCCAGGGGCCACACATCCCTGGAACTGCATTTTTCCAATGGGATGGCACAAGAGTTATAGACCCAGAGGTAGAGTCTGGGGGCAGGACGGACCCTAGCTGAAGGAGGTGACAGCCTGGTCAGGTGAGGCCTGGGTTTGGGGCTGAATTCTTCCAGTGACTCAGTATGACCTCAGGGGTGAACATTCACAGCTCCAAGCCACAGCCCACAACTCCGTAAAATGGAGTCATAACAGAGCCATCCCCACAGGATGCATCACAGCAAGGCACGCAGTGGGTGGGCGGGCATCAGGATCCCTGCTCAGGTTAACTCAGCCCTAGGCTATGGCCACCAACCAGAAGGCCAATCACCAGTAATGAGCAAGGCCCCGGAGTGGTCCTGCTCAGAGGAGGAAGTGTAGGGGAGGAGAAGTCAGCATGCAGGGTGAGGTGGTCCAGAATGCGGACAGCAGGACAAGCCATCCTCCCACAGGGCTGCTCACCTGAGACCCCACCCCGTTTGTTTTCTAGTTGATCAGGGTTGAGGACCAGAGTCAGAACTCAAGCCTGGGGCTCAGAGCAGCTTCATCTTGCTCAGCCCCCAAAGGACCCTGGGCCATTCCTGGCCTTGGTCTCCTCATCTGCAGGATGGTTTTCCCTCTGCCAGGGCGCTGTGTGGGGCAGACTCTGGGACCAAGGTCTCTAGGCAGAGGCAGACTGAGGCACGGAGGAAGTCAGTAGGTTCTCGCATCTGCTGCCCCATGGCTGTTCCTCCATCTCTGGAGCTGCACACCTTGACCCTAGCCTGGGGGTGCAAGAAGCCGGGCAAGTCCCTCCACCAGTTTTGGGGTCCCTGCTCCATTAAGCAGTCCAGGATGGGGGTGTGCATAGAGGCTGCTGTGGACAGACTCCCAGCCTGGAAACCATGAGTCCCTTGCTCATGCTGCCCTTGCCTCCCAGAATGTCCTCAGCTCCGTGCCCACACAGCTCCTGAGCACCAGCTTCTTGCTCACAGTGCTGGGGGCAGGGGCTCAGTCACCCCCACTCACCACACCAGCTCACCCCCACTGTGTTGAGGTGACTCTAGCCAGGGGTCCCCCAGTCTTTAGCCACAGGACCCAAGATGCACCATCCTCCCTCCTTCCTCTGTCTCTTCTGCACCCTTTTCTGCATGGCCCCCCTACACTTCTCCCTGCCCCCTGCCATCTCCTCCCCAGTCTGGCCTAACTTGACAGTGTCCTGTAGGGGTCTCCAGGCTGGCTCCTGGATCCCCTCCTCACTCTGCCCTGCTTCTGGCACCTCACCCCTGCACCCGAGTCCTCTCTCTCCTCTCAAAAACTCCCAAGTACCTGGCTGGACACCTCCCAGTGGGGTCCCCAGCCCCACCCATCCTTGTCCCCACTCTTTAAGTCCCCACCCCCATTCCTCCACATAATGGCCACCTCCTCCCCCGGCCTCCAGGCTTGTCTTCCCCTCATTGCCTGCTATCCCTTGCCCCCAACCCTTCCCGCTCTGGTCGGAATGACGTACTTGCTGACCCGAACAGCCCACACCCTGCCTACGCCACGTACACTCTTGCCATTCTCCTTCTCCATTGGGTCAACTCCCTCTTTTTGAGGAAGTTTCTGGGCTCAGTTCAGATGTCTTCTCCTCTGGAAAGACCTCCCGGCACCTCCCCTCTAGGGTTTTTGCCTCCGTATCTCCCACCAGGCTGAAAGCAGCTTTAGGGCAAATCAGGGCAGGCTGGCCTGCAGGTTCCTGGCTGGGGCGGACAGAAAACACTGGGCTCCTGAACAAACAAAGGGTGGGAGGGTGGGCATGGTACTAGGAGGAAGGTGTGGGAGGGAGAGGAGGAGGGGAGTGTACGACCAAGGAGGGGCCCAAGGGCCTTATGGCCTGGGCCTGCACCCTGTCTTTGCTGAGCTGGAGAAGCAGGTGGAGCTGCCCTGAGCTGGAACCTCCCAATGCCCCCCACCCGACTTAGTCCATATTTAGGAACCCATTTCCTACATGGATTAAAAGAGTCCTTTTCTGAGTGCCAAGACCCTAAGACCAGGCACAGGGGTGGGGAGAGGGCTGCCCCCAGAAAACACAGTAAAATGCCCCTACTGGCCTCCCTGCAGGGGAGATCACAGGGGCCAGAGCCCAGGCCCAGCTGCAAAGAAACCTCCTGGGCTGTCACTCTTGATCCCTCAGCTTGGCCCTGAGTGTGGCCCCAAACCTCCTAAGCCTCAGTTTCCTCATCTGCCTTCCCTATAGCCAGAGCCTTCTCCTCTTCCAGGAGTCCCCCCAATATCACCTCCTCTCAGAAGCCCTCCCTGACCACCCTGACTGAAGAGGACCTCAAGGATCCCTCATTCTCCCTTCAACTTTTCTTTATATGTGTATGTGTGTGTTTGTGTGTGTGTGTGTGTGTGTGTGTGTGTGTTGTTGGTTGAGGTACACTTCACATACAGTAAAATGCCCAGGTCTCAAGAGTGCAGCTCAATGAGTTTTGACAGCTGCACATGCCCCCATGACCCACACCCCCAGCAAGACAGAAACACTTCCAGCTTCCCAGTGAGCTCCCGCGTCACCGCCCTTTTTCCCTCCCTCCTGTGCCCCGCTGGCTCACAACCTACAATTAGCGTGTTCCTTTGATAACTCTTTAAACAAACACACACATATAAGTGTGGCACTTTCAACGTGCTTGGCTCTGTTCTGAGCACTTTACAGATATTAGGAGCAAGGGGCTTCATTATCCCCGTTCCTTAGCTGAGAAATGGAGGCACAGCAAGGGGAACTAACTGGCCCCAGACCACACGGCTGGTGCCCCAGCCAGGCTGGAGGGAAACAGAGGCCCAGAGAGGCAAAGGAAGGGCAAGGGCACCGCCAGCCTGCCTGGTCATCCCTGGGTCCCAGTACCGGGCCTGGCACAGAGCATTGGCTGATGTAATATTTGTAGATTTATGGAACAAATCTATGAAGTGGGGTTAAGAGGAAGAAACACTCACAACCCATCATGAGAACAGAATAAGATTAAATTGAGGAAGACCTAGGAAGGCTCAACAACGAGAGACGTGACAACCTGGCCGAACTGGCTCCCCACTCCACCTCACCCACCCTCCCTGGTGAACCAGACTGTACCTCCTCTCCCAAGGAGCCCATCCTGACTGCTCCAGCCCACAAGGCCATTGCTATAAATGGCAATTCACACAGGTCCATGAGTCCACACAACCCTTCATAAAAGATGTCCCCAAGCAAGAGCCCCATTTTCCCAGGCATGGAAATGAGCACAGGGCTAGGAGATAGGAGGCTCAGGTTCTACCCTTACTCTCAGGGTGACCTTTGGTGGCTCCTTTGCCTCTCTGGGCCTCTGTTTCCCTAATGTTGAGCTACAGCGCTTGAGCTAGATTGGAGGAACAGAAACCTCTGGTCAGGGGCTCCTTGCAAAGTAACTACTGTAGCCCCCCTCCCACATCACCGCCCCCATGGAGCAGTCCCTGAGGCTCCACAGACCCATATCCAAATGCCTGAACCCGATGGGCGCCACCTGGTTCCCAGTCACGGCTGGGAAGAAAAGAAGATGGCATGGCCTTCTGACCAGCCAATTTGGCAGACCCCACCCTAACCTCATTCCCACCCCATGTCCCCTGGGCCCCCTAGGGCTCCACCAAAGCTGAGGGTCTGTGATGGCTCCTGGGCAGCTCCATCAAGCGCCCAGCAGGTACCCACACACCCATGAGGCAGAACCCTGGCTTTCTCCCAAGGGAGGGGCTCCTGGCTGTACTTGAAGTGTGGGCCCCCAGTGAAGTTAGATGAACATCGAATCTGAGATGACATTTCCTTGAACGAATGACACTGCTCTAGCCTCAGGCTTTGATGAAGCAGGTTCAACCTCTCCCTTCTCCCTCACTCTCCTTTGACAAATTCTCCAAGCTGCCCCTAGAGCCTACCGCCGGATGGCCAAGACCCCTGCCAACCCCCCCCCGGGTGGACCCCGACAAAGGATGAGGCCGAGGGGCCCATGTGCTCCGCCCCCCAGCAGCACCAGGCAGAATGGGAGGCTCAGGACTAGCCAGGCCCCCTCCCTCCCTGCATGCTGCATCCTGTCCCACCCAAGGACAGGCTTCACATGTGGGTGGAGGAGCTCCCCAGTCCAGGAGCGGGGAAAGCGAGAGCAACATTGGACTGCAGTTTACAAAACAGTCTCCCCCCTCATCTCATGGGAATGCTGGCGCTGCCCTGTGAGGCGAGCCGGGCGGGGCCGGCAACCCCAGTTTACAGACTGAGGAAAGAGAGGTTCAGGAGGATGAAGTCACAGCCCTGGGGCCACCAAGCCGGAGTGTGGCAAGAGTGAACAAGGAGAGGAAGGGACTTTTAAGAGAGTGTCCAGACAACCCCTCCCTGAGGGGAAATGAGAGGATGGGGTGGCACCGACCAAAACTACCGCTACGGGCCTCGGGAGACCTGCTCTGGAATGAACGTGTGCATAGGTGTGGGTGCGCAGGGGGTGGGGGGCACGGGAACATGGATACAGGCAGGTATAGGGGTGTGTCCTGGGGGTGCATGGGTATAGGGAGCATGGGGGTGGGGGCCATGGGCATGCATGTCTCCTACCCCTGCAACAGTGACTCTGAACCCCCAGAGAGTGGGACCCATCCATCTGTCCATTCATTCATCCAATATTTTCTCTCTCT